AAAAAAATGTTTAATGAACTACCCCCATTATTTTCCCATGAGGATCTTGCACACAAACATGAAGGGGACACCACCCTGTATATAAATAATATTATTTTGACATCTTTGCCATATTTATTTATTTGATTTGATATAAAATTTGCAAATTACATAAATTTTAAAATAAACAGATTTTTTAATATGTAATATTAGATATGATAAAATAAGTTCTTCCACAGCTCACTGGCACTTCAAATAGCATTGTCGTGGCAGACCTAAAACAATTAGAATAACAAAAAATTAATTCAGAAAGTTTGTTATACCGACAGATAGGTACATGGTAACTAATTTAATGAAAAAACGTATCAAGTAAAAATTATGAACATTTTTCAAGAATAAAAAATATCTATTGGTATTATCTGATATCTATCACAGTTTCAGAGTAAGTTCGATTTTTTTATTTTACATTAAAGTATGTACATGGTAAACTTGCTGGATGTTCCACCAAGCTGTGAAAATCTTTTCAACTATGGAAAAATGTTATGTTGCAAATTTCCGTTGGTTGGGTAAATATAAATAGTACATTTCAACTTCATCATCTTGTATCTCGAAGAGGCGGCATTTTTAGAAAGCGTTCGTATGAAAAACTTTCGTACACAGAAAGCAGCATTGGACAAAATTAGTATGATTATATGTATAGGTACTTTCCATAGCAAAACCGTGTTAGAAAAATATATAATAGTTCTTTTTTTTCTTTAAACTAAAATTTTTATATCATTCTGAGTTGAATCAAACAACTGTGGTCATTACTAACACTGTGTTTGAGTAACAATTTTTTGTTTCAGTGTAGGTAAAATAAGTTCCTGGCACTAAATTGTCAAGTACAACGCATTAATTGAGGTTATTGCCCAGGTAAGGAACTTACTTGGAATAATCTCTTTCTGGAGACCCATCAGCGACGGCTGGCGAAAATTGAACCGGTCATATTTTGAAAATGAGGCATGGGAGCTATACGATTTCTCAAACCACGTAGATAACTCTCATGATGAGAAAATTTGGAACCAAATTTGCGAAATAAATAATTTAAATAAGGACAGCCTCCACTCAAATCTCCAAAGGTATTGCATATATTTGTAAAAAATATATTTTCTTCATAATTAACTGACAAATACAAACAGGGGTTTCCTTATTTTTCTCAAAATTTTAATTTTTCTTAAAGTTATAGTATTAAGAAGTTTAAAAATTAACTGTTAGTATTAAATTAAAATCTAGTCAGTTATATTTACGAAGTAAAATAATTTCGTGATTTAAAAAATACCTGACTGCATCTATCAGTTAATCATGAAAAAAAATGTATATATTTTGTACGTATACAGGGTGTTCCGGTATTTGATTAAAGAATGGTAACGCCGACTAAGTGGTTATATGTAATCGTTAACACCAACAACATCTTTAAAGGCTTTTCAATTTGAACTGAAAAACGCAACAAATTACTTATGTTCCGCAAAAACGATTTTCACAATCCCAGGTAATTGCTTATGAATTAAATGAATGATGGAATAGATTATTGTGTTCCTTTCCAATAACTTCCGTCTATTATGCAGTACTGGGAATACTAAAGTTTAAAAATTAATAATAACTCACCTGCTAAATCAATTGTTTGTGACCGCTTTCCTCCTGAAAGCAAAAAAGGAAAGATTGATTACTTCAATGTAGATAATAAATTTTTATAAGTAGACACAAATATTGCATATTTAGAAGAGGTAGGCTCTTTAACGAATTATAATCAGAGGAGAGAATTACGGTAACAATACAGAACTATAATTCATACTAAGCGTAATTACAAGTTGATATCAATTTACACACAAAAAAAAAATAAAACGTAATCAAATCATAATAATAATTTGACACTTCGCTGAGTAAATAAAACGCTGAGATAGCGGGGGCATTAGGATTTACGTCGTAGTAAGTGATTTGTTTCGTTCGTCGGTTCATCTTATACATTAATACGAGGGTGGTCCCAGAAGTACCCGGCCTGACCTAGAGATGGTGGTAGTTGTTCGAAAAATATCACTGTATTAGAAAGTATACAATTTATAAAGCATATGTTTCAAGTTTGAAGACGCCATGTTGTTTAGTATTTGTTGGATAGCCATCAATAGCGAATGTTTTCAGTGAATTTGTGAAAATGGACAAAATTGGTCATTGTCTTGATGAAACAACACTTTCTTCTTAGCCAAATGCGGCCGTTTTTGCTTGATTTCTTCGCTCAAAAGTTTCAATAAGTTCTCTAATACTCGCCATTGATAGTCAAAAACCAACGCCATGACCTTGCCTGCTTATGCATATGCTTTATAGATTGTGTACTTTCTAATAGTGATATTTTTCAAACAACTACGGCCATCTCTAGGTCAGGCCGGATCTTCTGGGACCACCCTCGTATACCGGAATGGCCAGAAGTTTGTCGTAATACCCATTTCGAGGTATTCAGTACCATTTTCGCCTCAGTTTTGAATACCCTGATACCAGCGCGAGATTTTTGCTGATAAGAAAGTTCGAAAAGCATTATTGTAAATTATATAATAATAAGTGTTAAATAATTTGTAACCAAAATTTTACCAAATTGTATAGATTAGGTAATTATAATTTAAATTCAAATATAAAAACTTTAAGTATCACTAATTAATCAATACGTAATCAATCAAAAGTATGATTATTATTTTAGTACTAAAATTCATTATTATGCACTACACTTTATAATTAAATTAGTGGGAAAAATATTCACTAATTTTTGTTAATTTGTAAATTTTTGTTCCTAGAGAAAATAAAATTTAATTTTCTTTGCAATGTTTTAATTATTCCTTTGAAAACAAGGCAGATTATTTATTTAATGAATTCGAGAGAAAATCTTGAAAGAGACGTATAAAAAATAATGTTTTTTTCAATCCTTAACTAGGCCCCCATCAAATTTCTGCCTATAGGCCTCACAAGCGTAAATCCGGCGCTGTTGGATACCGCAGTTTTACTTGTGAAATTAATTATCAATTAATTAACTCAAAGTATGTTGTTTGTAAGAACAAGCTTTATTCACTTCGTGACAATATTACAATTAAAATGTTAAGATTTGCAAAGAGTTAATATATTCATTTAAAAAGCTGACTCTAGTATGATTTTTATCTCTAGGCGATACGGAAGCTTCATAACATTTATTATTATGATCACAGACCACCTAGACTGGCCGTATCTAATTCCAATGCACGGGTACCAGTGAATGCAAAATCCGGGGAAGTGGAGTGTGGAAGGCAATCTGATCGCGCGCATCTTTAAGCAGATCCGGATTAAGTAATATTTTTATTACATATTAAACATTATATTGCATCTTATGACAAATATTCAATTTTAAGTTTGTAATTCAGAAAATAGTATATTTTAGTGTCATATTAAATAAAACTACAAAATAATTTAAATATATTTATTGTCCTCTAAATAATATTAATTTATTTAATATTTGCCTTTTCGTAGATTTTACCGAATTAAATAATTTGACTTCATGATTTATTCGTACATCGATATACTTTTCACATTCAGCCCTTACAAGTTCTATTAAATGATTACAATTGTTAGGCAAATTATCAAATTGATGTTCATGCAAATTTTCAAATATGTTCACATTCAGAAAGTTTTTTAATACATGATAAACAATTTTATTTTTCTGTAGCCTAGGTGTTCTGCTTTCATCATTATTTAAAAATTTTATTAATTTTTCTGTTTCTTAGCATATTACTACGACATCTCGAGATGGATACGTCAAACAACCACGATCTTTAATAAAAATTAATTGACTGTACGAATACTGAATCTGAAATTAGTTTTGTTTGCGATTTTTTTAATTGAAAAAAATATTTAATTAATTTTCAGCTATCTCGAAATGACGGGAATTGGTAAAATTTCATAAAAATTTAAGACTCACATAAAGTAAATAATTACTAAAAATATTTTACAGTAATTCATTCATTATTTTATAATAACAATATCACGTTAATCACTACACTATGTGGGCGAACAAAATTATAAAGCTAACCCTGGAAACTTGTGACGTTAACCGAAAAATGGCGTACATATTTACCTTTTATATATTCCTTTTTTTTACGTACCTAAAGAAGGAAACTTTTCGCCTCTCTTCACCAACTCGATCACTTCTTTTTATACAATGTTTTACAATACACTTGCCCATGATAAAACGTCTAATTATCGAAATCACAGCGATGCGTACACGTCAAATGCTAGGACACGACTGAGCGCTGGGCTCCAAATCAGGCTCCAAAGTGTTTGCACCAAAGTCGCTCTATAAGCCAGTCTAGGTGGTCTATGATTATGATCTAAGCATTACATTATCAACAAAAAATATATTATACGGGGTACATCACTCCGCTACCGCTGCTGTCGCTTTGCAATTCCACCACGGTCTTGTATTCCGCCGCGCCGCGCCGCGCCTTCACAAGTCATGACGCCCTGCCATTCCACCACGGCTCAGAACCCCCACTGCTGCGACCGATGTCACTTGGATTTTTCAACCACGGTTCGGCACCTTGTTGCGGATGCCGTCCTCAAAGATGAAGCCGATCGCTCCAAGGATAACACCGTGAATTGACAAGGTAAGGATTTCGCGGATGTTTCCAAGATTTTCGTCCCCGCGCCGGAAAACCGCTCCACGAGGGTCTAACTGCTCCAACGCAGCAGTCCCCGTCCTAGACAGCTCGAATACGAATCCTGTACAAAAATCGGCCTGATTTCGGAAAATCAAAAAATTTACGAATACGACGACAATCGGGCCTAAGCGTAACAACCAGCTGCCAGTCATTATCACAAATGGTAATGAAACATTATAAAATCCGAAGAGGCCATTACTGGGGGATCCCATGGAGCCGACCACCTCTTTGAGTGTGCCACTTTCGCGGAGTGAACGAAAGTCTCCGCCAAACCACAGGTAATCCAGCAGGCTGCTCTACTAGACCAAGCAAATTAAATTTTTACTCGAAAAAAGCCCTATCCGCGAGATTATTGTAAAAACTAAGTGGTTGTATGTAATCGTTAACACCAACAACGTCTTCAAAAGCTTTCCAATTTGAACAGAAAAACGCAACAAATTACATATGTTCTACGAAAATGATTTGCTCAATCCCAGGTAATATAAGTGTTCATGAAATAAATTTTTTTCCAATAATTTCTGTCAAAAAACTAGGAATATTAAAGTTTAAAAATTAACAATAACTCACCTTGTGCGTAGATTGTTTGTGTCACTGGTCCTCCTGAAAGCAAACCAAGAAAGATTGATTAATTCAATGTAGACAGTAAATTTTAATAAGTAAGCAAAAATATTGCATAGTTAGAACTGTTAGAAGAAACTACAGTGACTCTATACAGTGACTCTATACAAGACAGTGACGACAATAGTGTGTATCATTTTTAATTGGTCCACGTGATTTTAGCTGCCATGTTGCATCCAGTGTCAAATTCATCTATGAAATGTCATGATGTCAGGAGCGTTCTTATGGTGGTCTTTATAATGTGTGCGGATATATTGCCCAAATTATCGTTAAAACGTCAAGAACTTGTACAAACTGTCTGCATGCTGTTGGTTCTAAAACGCCGATCTATAAAACATGTTCAAAATTTAGCGTACTTAAGAGATTTAGAGAACATTCAGTCATTTTTGCAATGAAGCGGTATTTTGTTTCTTCTTGCAGATGGAAAGTACTTTTACAACATTTTTTGCGATTGAATCTTGACGAAACATAAATTTAAAAGAGTTTTTCTTAAAAGAAATGTCTGGTTTAAATTTAGATCTACCAAATTGTCATCAGATCAAAAATAAAATTGTTAAAAGATTTATTATGTTCCGATTAAAAATAGCTTCCAAAAAATGTCAAAAAGCATGCAAAAAGCTTGCAAGTAAAAGTATTGCTGGACATTTATTGTAACAAATACTATCACTAGTACTCGTATTAAGTATTCGTTTTTCTAATGTAAACCCAATAAATTTCATTGTGTAATGTAGGTATGCTTAAATTTACTTGCCTAGAAAATATAAACCAATAGCTGTTATTATTATATATTTATCCTTCCTTATTGCGCAAGTAGATTCTATATTCATTCATTATTTAAAATCGCTTTCCAAGGAAGCTATTTGCCTAAAACTGTGAGTAAAATTTAAAAGAAAAATATTTTTGTACTTAATTTATTTATTATAAAAGTTACTTTCAATTTGACATTGGATGCAACATGGCGGATGGGCGGGGTTTAGTCGCTATTGTCGCCACTGTCTTGCATATAGCCACTGTAGAAGAAACAAGCTATTTAACGGATTATAATCATTAGGAAAAAATTTCGGTAACGATACAGAACTAAGCCTAGTTACAAATTAGTTTTTATACACACCAAAAAAAAAATAAAAATAAAACGTAATCATAATAATTTGACACTTCGGTGAATGGTGAATAAATAAGGCGCTGAGGCAACGGGGGCATCAGGATTTACGTCGTAGTTCGTGGTTTGTTTCGTTCGTCAGTTTATCTCATACATATACAGGGTGTTTGTAAATAAGTGCGAAATATTTTAGGGGGTGGTTGCCGAAGTCATTTTGTGAAAAAAATTTCATATAAACGTAGTGTTTAAAATTTAATTTTTTATTTATTTTTGTTACCTAATTATTTCAAAGAGTTTTGAACATCCTGATAAGTATTTATGAAATAAATGAATGATGGAATACATTATTGTATTCCTTTCCAATAATTTCTGTCAATTATGCAGTGTAAGTTTTTCCGAAGTCAATTGAAGAACCTATAATTTCAAGGTATGTACCAGGCTCGGTCGCTAAGCAGCAACTCGGCATTGAAATAATTGCCCAGCAGTGCAGTGCTGCAGTGCGGAATTTGGTGTGAATTAGGCAATTTTAATTTATTATAGGCACCTTCTATCAATCATTCATATTACAATTGTGAAAGGGAGAAATAAGAGGGATATTTTGTTTACTAATATTATCACATGGCATTTTGGAGACCTTTTGAAACGGAACAAAACAAAATTTACCGCCAATATAATAAAATTGTTTGAGGACATAAATAATTAAAATATGTTGTTGGCCAAATGAACATATAATAGAAATTTTCTACACATTATATACAAATTATTATAATTTTTTACCTTTAGCAGAAAATTTTTTTAGGGACGCCTATGAAAAATTTTATTACCAGACGTTCATTTGCATATTCAGCTGACTTCGGAAGGACTATACTAGGAATACTAAAAATTAATAATAACTTACTTGTTGTGTCGAATGTTTGTGTCAGTACTCCTCCTGAAAACAAAATAGAAAGATTGATTACTTCAACGTAGACAGTTAATTTTTATAAGTAGACAAATATATTGCATATTTAGAAGAGATAGGCTCTTTAACGAATTATAATCAGAGGAGAGAATTTCCGTAACAATACAGAACTACAATTTATACCAAGCGTAATTACAAATTGGTTTTTTTAGGTATACACAAAAAAAATAAAACGTCCTCGCACATTAATATCTGTATTATACAGGGTGTTTGTAAATAAGTGCGAAATATTTTAGTGGATAGTTATTTTGTGAAAAAAAGTTCATTTAAAGGTAGATCGAAATAAGCTTCGTTTCCGAGATACAGTGTTTAAATTTAAATTATTGATTTATTTTTATTAATTATTTCAGAGTTTTAAAAATATTGACTCGAAATTTGAAACACGCTCTGGAGGGATAAATGGGCATTTTTTGGGGTGATCCGAATATTTCTACTTGCACCAGTGGCGTTCCTGCGAGAATGCTTTTTTTAATAAAAATAAATAGTACGCCGCTGACTTATTCCCGTTTTGATATTCTTTTATAAATCCGCCATCAATTTTGAATGAAATTGGTCTCTTCATTAAAAATAAAAAGTTGATATGAATTCTTCGATTTCGAGGTACAGGATGTTCAAAACTATTTGAAATAATAAAAATAAATAAAAAATTAAATTTTAAACACTCTGTATCTCGGAAATGAAGCATATTTCGACCTACGTTTATATGAACTTATTTTCACAAAATAATTTCGGTAACCACCCCCTAAAATATTTCGCACTTATTTACAAACATCCTGTATACAGTGCCTTCATAAATGTCCGAGTCAATAAAGAGCGAAGCTGACCAAATTTTAGAAAATTTATAGATAATGTTAAATGTATTAAACTTTTCAAAAACTTCCAATTTGAACGGAAAAACGCAACAAATTACATATGTTCTACGAAAATGATTTGCTCAATCCCAGGTAAGTGCTTATGAAATAAATGAATGATAGAATACATTATTGTGTTCCTTTACTATAATTTCTGACAATTATGCAGTAGGTACTAGGAATACTAAAGTTTAAAAATTAATAATAATTAATAACTCACCTGCTGTATCGATTGTTTGTGACCGTATTCCTCCTGAAAGCAAAAAAAGAAAGATTGATTACTTCAATGTAGACAGTAAATTCTTATAAGTAGACAAAAATATTGCATATTTAGAAGAGATACGCTCTTTAACGAATTATAGTCAGAGGAAAGAATTTCGGTAACAATACGGAACTATAATTCATACTGAGGGTAATTACGAATTAATTTGTATATGCCCAAAAAAGAAAATAAATAAATAAATAGTAATCATAATAATAATTGGACACTTCAGTGAGTAAATAAAACGCTGAGGTAGCGGCGGCATCAGAATTTACGTCATAGTTCGTGGTTTGTTTCTTTCGTCAGTTCATCTTACGCGTTAATATACAGGGTGTTAAAAAAAGAGTGTAAAATATTTAAGGAGGTAATAGTATGAACCAAAATAAGCAGAAAAGTCTCAATAAACATGGGTTCGCAAAGTAACGGTTGCGGAGATATGGAATGTTTTATGTTTTTTAGCCCCTTTTTTTATTTTGCAAAAACGTTGTGTATTTTCTTATAATAGTTGGTTGACGTTTAGTGAAATAAACAGTACGTATTTGACAGTTGTTCTCAGTGCACAAGTTTTCTTTCGCTATGGCTGGTTACTCTAACGCAGAATTAACAGACATGCATTTCATGTATGGTCGTGCTAATGGGAACGCCACCGAAGCGCGACGTCTTTATGTTGACGCTTATCCAAATCGCCAGATTCCTTCACAACGCATGTTTGGAAGAATTCACCAAAGATTGCGTGATACCGGTTCCTTGAGCAAACAGTGCCATTTATCCGGAAGACCAAGGTCGGTATCCACTCCTAGAGCAGAAGAAGAAATTCTAGCACTGGTAGAGCAGAATCCAGGTACGAGTGTGCGGAGAATATCAGCCGAGGTAGGAATTAGTGGTCCTCTTGTTTGGAGAATCCTTCACGAGCAACTGCTTTATCCATACCATGTGCAACGAGTACAGGCCTTAAATCCAATAAATGATCATCAAGCACGTTTGGTTTTTTGCCGCTGGTTTCTACGTCATGATGCTGAAGACCCTCGTTTTCTTGCAAACATTCTTTTTACTGATGAGGCCGGGTTCACAAGAAATGGAGTGTTTAATTTTCACAATACGCATATTTGGGCCGACGAAAATCCTCATGCTCTAATAGAATCTGGACATCAGGCACGTTTTTCATTAAACATTTGGATGGGTATTGTAGGTGACAGGTTTCTAGGTCCTGTTGTTTTACCAAACCGATTAACAGGCGCTGCTTACCTCAACTTTCTGCAGAACACACTGTATGAGTTTTTGGAAGACATTCCTTTGAATCAGAGGCAACAAATGTGGTTCCAGCATGATGGTGCTCCAGCTCATTTTTCCATGGCCGTTAGAGAGCATTTACACCAAACTTTTCCACATAGATGGGTAGGAAGGGCCGGACCTGTTTTATGGCCTCCAAGATCGCCTGATCTGAACCCTCTAGATTTCTTTGTTTGGGGATATTTGAAGACATTAGTGTATGGTACTCCTGTAAATAGCCTGGAAGAGCTGCAGCTACGGATTAATCAAAAGTGTCAAGAAATCCAAACCAAGGAGGGTGTTTTCGAAAGAGTTCGAATATCGTTGAGACGAAGATGTCGTGCCTGCTTGGAAATGGACGGAGGGCACTTTGAACATCTTCTGTAACTTTGTTTTTTGTTTGTTAAAAGCTTCCTTTGTCGGTTTATTCCTAATAAAATAAAATGTTTGAAAAACGAATAGTGGTCCATATCTCCGTAACCGTTACTTTGCGGACCCATGTTTATTAAGACTTTTCTGCTTATTTTGGTTCATACTATTACCTCCTGAAATATTTTACACTCTTTTTTTAACACCCTGTATTATACAGGGTGTCTCAGAATAACGTGTACAACGGAAAACTACATACTCCTGGACTCAAAATAGGCAGATTTAGGCTAATTCACCTATATCCGAAATCGCTTTGTTTGGCCGCTAGATGGCTTCAAAATTCATAAAAATTTTTTGAAATTTATAAATAACTCGAATACGTATTATTCGATTTTGTTTATTTTTAGGGTGTGGACTTTTGCTTTCAATCTATACATTTTAGTGTTATACAGAGTGTTTTTTAAAATTTACAACTCCTATAAAATTGATGTATGGTGATAATATCCGTGCATAACTTTTTCCTCATTTGGGCAATAATGACAACTATTTTTATTTGATAGGTGATATCATTTGGAAGTTTTTGGGCCTCTAGTAGAATTTTGATTAAATGAGCGGTTTGGGTACAAAAATATATTTTGTAAATGTACACATTATCTCGCTACCGATATTACTCGAGTTATTGGAAAAGGTGCCGTTATTACTCAAAGCTAACATGTGGTTTATGCATGAAGATGCTTCACCACATTTCACTGTAAATGTCCGGCAGTATCTGAACCAAAGATTCCATCGTCGATGGATCGGTAGAGGGGATAATGTTCCTGTTAACTGGACTGTCGTTCACCAGACTTAACACCTTGCGACTACTATCTTTGAGGCACTCTGAAAACAGCAGTGCATGATTTCTCATCTAACACTGAACTGAGTTATGGAGGCATATCCAAAATGCCATAAATGTTTTAAAAAATAGCCCTTAAGAACTGCAAAGGGTGTCCTTTAATTTTCTTCGCCGAATTAACCTCTGTTGTAGAAACAACGGTGATCATTTTTAACAGTTTTTATAATAGGTTGTACTAAATTTAATAACCTCAACCTTGTTACTTTTATCTCCAGCATTTTTTATTGTATTTGATTGTTTTTACGAATTAATAATAATAATATTTATTGAATCACTTCTTACAAATGACAAATGAGGAAACATATAGGTCAGATAACACATGACAAGTACACTAGAAGGACAAAATAAATATAGAGAAACCCACAAAAGTAAACTTTGATTTGATTGATATTTTAAAGGGGTGATAAGTCCATTTAGAGCAACTAGGACTTTCTCGAGGACACTCTGTTATCTCCATCAATTCAATTACAAGAATATGTGTTCGTCCTCCACAGAGTATATGAAAACATCCCATTTTTGCTCATACAAATATACAAATGCACTATTTCCGAATATGAATACGCCCAAGTTGTAGGAATCGACAAAAGAATGGTAACGCCGACTAAATGGTTATATATATATCGTGGTTAACATCATGCAACGTCTTCAAAATGTTTCCAGTTTGAACAGAAAAACGCATCAAATTACATATGTTCTACGAAAACGATTTACTCAGTACTAGGTAAGTACTTACCGTACTGAAAGTACTAGTACGTACTAAATAACTGAATGATGGAATAAATTACTGTGTTCTTTTCCAATAATATCTGTCAATGATGCAATACTAGGAATACTAAAGTTTAAAAATCAACAATAACTCACCGTGGGTGTAGATTGTTTGTGTCAGTGCTCCTCCTGAAAGCAAAAAGAGATTGATTAATTCAATGTAGACAGTAAATTTTTATAAGTAGACAAACATATTGCATATTTAGAAGAGGCAGGCTATTTAACGAATTATAATCAGTGGAGAAAATTTCGGTAACAACACAAAACTATAATTCATACTAAGCGTAATTACAAATTGGCTTTTATATTCACAAAAAAATTAAACAAAACATAATTTATATTCTGATAAACAATTATAGGTGTAAAAACAGCATGCATATTTCAGTCGTGGTAAACAATGGTCAAGCACATGCTGTTACAAAGCTATTGGTCACATATTATCCAGATTTAATTTCCTTCTATCGTTCACAGTTTAAATTGGTTTTATTTATTTATTCTTCTAGCATTTGTAGCCAACAAAGATCTAAATTGACAAGAGTAATGTAAAACGTATCTCTTACTGTTTAATAAAATAATCTCATCATTTTTTAATTTTCTGTTGCTTACTTATTGGAGCTCGCAGATTAGCTATTCGCGTTATAGAACTATCTAAAATAAAAGATTCATTTTTTGCATTTTTTTTTCTAAACTTAAAAACCAGAAAGACGAGTATAACCAATACATATACAATAATACATTATGCAGTACTGAGTAAAAATCAGTTTTTCTTGCAAATGCATTTTATGGACATGAAACTAGTCAACATATTTTGCTTGTAAAATATCGGGATTCTAAATATGATATCTGTTTTATTTTAGTCAGTGGCGTATCTTTTATTCCGAATAAGGTTATCTCTAACAACAAATGCACTCCGCTAGATTTTTTTAATCAACTGAAACTGAACCTGATGTCCAGGTAGACGGCAAGGGAGTGTGTTTAACATCAATTATTATTATTATTTGTCATTAACAGTTAGGTACATGGGTTAGCAGCATGTATTTGTGTTTCACAAATTCGGTTGTTGCAAGTCATCATTTATTTCGCTTGCAGTTTCATCGTGGATTGTTTGGTCGCAATATTACCATCAGTAAGTCAGACGCCATGCTAATATAGTATTGCGGGAAGGTGGAAAAATAATCGAAATTGTTCATTATCAGCCACATGCATCGGAGTATTACACTCATTGAACATAAAAATTAGATCATGTAATAAAAATACCCAGTAAAGCTCCTGTAGTAGTCGGTTTCTGTTAAGGATTTGACTTTCGATAAGAAACCCAACCCAATAAAATCATTTCACATCGAGGTATTTCAAATTTCTTTATATACAGGGTGTCTCACGGTGCGACCTATAAGAATTATTTCAGACTACTTCGATTTAAATTTTGAAAATTTGGGATACCGGGTTTTCCGGCATGCCCTTCTCAACTAAAATAGTGGCGTCCACGTACCACTTCCGATTATACCGGAAGTCGCCATTTGCTTATTTTAAATGGAACACCCTATATATTATTGCAATTTTAGATTCTACGTGTTATTTTAGGTGGACTTTTATGAGGTTTTCCTATTCCCAAAATTAACTGTTTTCGAGATATTTAATTTTTTTCAAAAAAAGGGAGAGAAACAGTGACTAGCTTCAAATTCAAACCATATGTATTTTATAGTAAGAAAGATAAAGCAACAATATTTATAGGGGCTAGGCCATCTAAGCTTCCCATCCATACTTTCAAAGTGGCTTAATTACATACAGGGTGCTAGAAATTTAATGCCGAGTTTAGTTAACCTCAAACCTTTGTTTTTTTTAAATGGAACGCCCTGTATGTTTTTCTATATTCTGATACACAATTTTATTCTCTTTCGACCGGTATCAGAGTTCCCTATACCTATCTCTTCTACTATTTTTTGTGTAATCACCTAAAATCATGTAATTTCTTGCGACGATAGCTGTTGAATTTTTAGCAAAACTTCAAAACAAACAACTAAACTGCCAATTTGTTGTTAGTCTTTTGCAGTGACATTTTAATTTAGTGTTTATAAGATATGGAAAACAATATATATTCAAATGGTGATATTTTAAATTTATTATTCATTCACGGACATTGTAACGGGATTATAAGCAGAACATGTACAGTTTTTAATGAGACATATCTTAATTTGCCACCAATGAGCAGAAAAAAGTAAAGAAGAATTTTAGCAAATCAACTAGAGTATGGTCGAATTTGTGCAGAAAGAATTTTACCAAAACCAATAACTTCAAATGAAGATAATGTAATAAATGTGCTAGCCTATTTTAATGTTCATCCAGAATCCTCTACTCGTGCCGCAGAGTATGATTTAGGCATTTCACGAGCGTCCATTCATAGGATGCTAAGACCTAATAATATGCATCCATACAAATTTAAGCTACTTTCTGCTCTTCATCCGGGTGACGCCGTGCAACGTGTACAATTTTGTGAAGCGATGTCAGTGAGATACAAAGAAGATCCACAATTTTTGCAACTTATTATATGGACAGACGAGTCAAAATTTACGAGAGAAGGTATTTTTAATAGACATAATACTCATTTGTGGTCATCTGAAAATCCTCATGTTATCCGGGATAGAAACTTTCAAAATAAATTTAGCGCAAATGTTTTTTGTTTAATTAAAGATAACCAAATTTCTTACCATATCTACGAAGAAAATTTAATTAGACCAACTAAGGAAGTGTTGGTATCAATTAGACGGGGCTCCATCTCACTGTCACAATCAAATCGATCAACAGCTGACTGAAATGTTTGAAGATAGATGGATAAGACGCCTAGGACCGTGGAATTGGCCAGTGAGGTCTCCCGACCTCGATCCATTAGATATTTATGTTTGGGGAGTAATAAAACAAAATGTTTATTCTACACCCGTTGCTTCAAAAGTGGATTTGATTGCTCGAATACGAAGAGCGTTCCATGAATTGCCTGCAGCTGAAATAGCAAAAGCTGTGACTGATGGTGTTATCTCTAGAATGCACAAGTGCTTAGCTGTTAATGGGGGTCATATTGAACACTTATGATTTTTTTTTATCTTAGTGCATTGTTATCAACATACATAATTAAAATTGTGTATTACTATGTATAAAGTTGATCTTTTCGAATTCTTCTTAACTTTATTCTGTTAATTGGTGGAAAATTGGGATATGTCTCATTAAAAACTGTAAATGTTCTGCTTAGAATCCAATTGCAACGTCTCTGAATAAATAATAATAAATAACTGGTGACAGTTTAGTTGTTGGTTTTGAAGTTTTGCTAAAAATTTCACAGCTATCCTCGCAAGAAATTACATGATTTTAGGTGATTACACAAAAAATAGTAGATAACTTAAAAACTAGAAGAGATAGGTATAGGGAACCCTGATACCGATCGAATGAGAATAAAATATAAGAATGGATGGTAAACGGGTAAATAAGAAATTGTTACATTAATTTGGCGAAACGAGAATAACCAAATACGTCGTGATCACTTCATTTTGATGCACTTATTTTAGTTTTATAAGATGTTTGTAGTCCGTAGACAATTTTGCAACATTCTGTGTGAGGTATTAGTATTAGTATTAGTTTTTACTAGAATCGAAATAGAATTTTTATAATAGTACAGTGTATGTGTTTTATTTTATTTTAAATTTATAGTAAAATTGAAACTAATGAAGTTCTTTGTTTAGTGTATCAATGAAGTTATTTATTTCAATGCTTAATGAAGATACAATGTATTTTTGTGTTTTCATTTACAAGTTTCTGTATGACATTATGAAAAATCATGTATACGAATCAAGAGAGTTNTAAATTTATAGTAAAATTGAAACTAATGAAGTTCTTTGTTTAGTGTATCAATGAAGTTATTTATTTCAATGCTTAATGAAGATACAATGTATTTTTGTGTTTTCATTTACAAGTTTCTGTATGACATTATGAAAAATCATGTATACGAATCAAGAGAGTTAATAGATATGGTTAGAGCCTACTTTTTCGCAGAGAAAAGAATGCTGCTGCAAGAAGGCGATTATCAGATGAATTATCCCGAGCGATAAGTACCAAATAGGAAAATGCAACAAAGGAGACTCTTGGCTCAAGTGTGTTGAAGCGTATTTGGACGCCAACGGAGGAAATTTCGCTGTAAAAATCAAATGAGCAAACAGAATATTTAATTATTCAAAAGCATTCCAATTTGAACGGAAAAACGCAACAAATTACATAATATGTTCTACGAAAATGATTTGCTCAATCCCAGGTAGGTGTTTATGAAATAAATGAATGATGGAATCCATTATTGTGTTTCTTTTCAATAATTTCTGTCAATTAAGCAGTACTAGGAATATGAAAGTTTAAAAATTAACAATAACTCACCTTGTGTGTAGATTGTTTGTGTCACTGGTCCTCCTGAAAGCAAACAAAGAAAGATTGATTAATTCAATGTAGACAGTAAATTTTTATAAGTAGGCACAAATATTGCATGTTTATTTCGTTTTCTTCGTCTATCATTTCTGCTAGCTAGGAAACGGCTTGTTGGAATTGATAAGTACAGTAAAAAACTTTGAGATCTTCCTCGGATGTACTGCAGAATAGCTGGGTTTCTTGTTAATCAATTTAAAAAACGGTACGTTAGTCCATTGAAAAGTTACATTTGGAGTTGCAAAAGTCAGAGCACGCAATTTTATTTTTTGGATGTCAAGAGAGGGTTAGTGTAAAGTTAAATCCATGTTTGTGGGGTCGCAACCCTTGTGCCTCGGCCGCCATCTTGTAAAAAGGGCTGCGAATGATTTTTATATTTATACTTACTATATCGGGCAAACTATTCGTCGCACAGAAAATTTGTAAACACATTTTTTGTTGCAAATTAAATTCTCTACAACTATTAGTCGTAGAACCAAAAATAAAAAAGTTATTAACGAAAATAGATAAAAATTTGGGAACAAATTTTCTTTTGGTCGTTATAACTTTTTTCTGGTCATTTTAAAAAGAAAATACATCAGAGCATTTTGATAGAGGGGTTTTCAAGGAATAATTTCTATTACAAACTTTTTTCAAATTTTATTTATTTATTAGGGTTTTAAGCGATGCGAAACTTACACTATTCTCCAGTACTAGTAAGTATACATTAATACGAATGGATTGGAGGGTTCATGGTAGCGAATTAGGCCAAAAAGGCCTAAAAACATCGAAATATGCAGTTTTTAATTTATTTGACCATGTTCCACCAATTTTAAAAATCTGAAAAAATTCAGAGGGAAACTTTGATCAAAAATACACATTATATTTTTTTCCGAGACATTAATATTAATTTTTCAAGTTTTAAAACGCTTATAAAATTTTTGAAACCTCTTTATTTGTGAGTTTTCAAATGTTTTTAATTATATTGAATTACTAAACGTGTCAGCAGAAGTAAGACAGTCGTGAGGAATAATGATTATTATTAAAGTACAGAATTAAATGTAGTATTTTCATAACTTTTTTAATTCATTAACGTATAAAGCTGATAACGCAAGGACTATATTCCTGTGATTTGTCTAGAGACCATCTCTCTTTTTCTTTAGTGGCAAAGTGTAATTGTGTGGTTTCATTAAACATTCTGTTCAGCGAGAATTTTAAATATTTCAAGCAATGGACTGTTCAAAGTGGTTAGTAAAAATTAAAGACAATGAATCCTCCGTCTTGTTCCGGTTCCTTATAAACTGAAGTATCACACAAAAAGTTTTAAATAAAGAATCTTAGAGAATCTTAGAAAATTTTCGTGATATTTTACTGTCCAAGAAAGAGAATATCCTAAAAGCGGAAAAAAGAGTTATGCGAGTGCTGTTGGAGAAGTGATTGTTATTAAGTCGAAAACGGTCCAAGAAAACAAAATAACTAAGAAAGTAATACAGGAAAAATTAGAACCTGCTAATCTAGAAGTAGGCATTACAGAGGTAAAAAGTGTTAAAGATGGTGGGGTGCTTATAAAGTGTCAACAAGGAGGAAATTGAAAAAATCAAAATAGCGGCAGAAAAAAGTTAAACAAAAAGTATAACATAAAAGTTCCCGATTTAAATCCATGTGTTAAAATTTTGAATATCGATGAGGAATTAAATGTAAAAGTAATCAACAAAATGAAATATAGATATCTGCCTGTTGTAGAATGTGACCCTCTGTCGTTCAAGAAACTTTTAGGACAAGAAAGACTGAGCGTAGGATGGACCTCTTGCAGGGTATTTGGGTACGTGAATGTCTTTAGATGTTTTAAATGTGGTGACTTTGATCACAAAATATCAAAATGTGATACCAACAGATGTGTTAGGATAATTAAGGACTAAAAGTCGAAACAATTACTTCAAAAATAAAATGTATTTAGATTGAACATACAACACTTGACTAGTCGCCAAGCAATTCAACAAGTGAGTCCCTATTCAAAAATCCCTTAATCGTAACTAACCCTTTCTAGTCTCTACACCACTTGACATTAACATAAACAGTCTATATATTAACGGTTGCGGAGAACAGGGCCCATTCCCACAGACACCTTCCTTAACAGATGTTTAAAATGTGGTGGAAATGGCCATACCAAAGATGATTGTGTCAACGAAGTCAGTTGTGGAAATTGTTTTACTGTTGATGGTAAACTAAACTTAAAATTAATAAAATTAAAAGCTGATCATTCCATTTTTGATGTATCATGTACCTATAAGTGTTCCTCCCCCACCAGTAATATGAAAACGTCCCATTTTTGCTCGTACAAACGCATTATTTCCGAATACAAATCCCATAGGACTAAGTGGTTATATGTAATAGTTAACACCAACAACGTCTTCAAAAGCTTTCCAGTGTGAACGGAAAAACACAACATATGTTTGCTCAATCCCAGGTAATTGCGTATGAAATAAATGAAAGATGGAATACATTATTGTGTTCCTTTCCAATAATTTCTGTCAATTATGCAGTACCAGGAATACTAAAGTTTAAAAATTAATAATAACTCACCCTGTGTGTCGAATACTTGTGTCCCTGCTCCTCCTGAAAGCAAAAGAAGAAAGATTGATTAATTCAATGTAGACCGTAAATTTTTATAAGTAGACAAAAATATTGATTTTCGATTTTCTTGGGTTGTGGTTCTTATCGAAAGTCAAATGCATAAAACAAACCGACTCTACATGCAGAAGCTCTACTGGAAATTTTTATTATATGATCAAATTTTTATGTTCAATCAGTGTAATACTCCAATGTTGTGGTTGATAATGAACAATTTCGATTATATTTCCACCATACCGAAATATTATTTTAGCATGGTATCAGGCTTACTGATTGTACTATTGCGACCAAAAAATCCACGATGAAACTGTCACTTTATAACCTCCCTAGTGCTTGAATTATTTTCAGAAATTTTTCCGAAGGAACGCATTTTTTGAAAATTTTCTAGAAGAATGCGTGATTGAGGAAAAATTTCCGGACATTAATTCAAGGACGTGGGGGTTCGGTAAGAAAATTTTACAACCAAAATTTATTTTAAAAATTTGACATGTTTCATTTTGAAACTTATTTCGCCAAAATAAAGTTGGCTTGACAGGTAGACATTATTTTGTGGTGCATGACATATTTTTAATGGTTCTTAATAAAACAAAAAAACACATTCCTTGCACTTTAGTAATAAAAAAAGGCATTTAATTTTTAAATTCAAATATTTATCTTTGCAGTACAATTCACTTAGTATTACTAAAATAGAAGGAAAGTGAGTTTTTGTAGAAATGCGATGTCTATGACAGTTTATTAATGATCCTTATTAAACATAAAAAATAGCACATTACATACACTTTAGTAATAAAAAAGGCATTTAATTTTTGAATTCAGATATTTATGTTTGCAGTATAATTCACTTATTATCACTAAAATAGAAGGAAAGTAAGGTTTTTGTGGAAAACCGATGTCTCGCTATACGTCACGTTGACAGTCATTTTCTCTAGTTTCTAATTGTTTACAATTAAATCATGGCAGTGAACAACCAAAAAACTAATTTAAAACCTTATAGTATATGTAATTCTTGCACCAAAATTGGGGATATTCTTATGTCTCATAAAAATTTAAAGTATTTGCTATATTTACTGAAAAAACTGGAATCAGTTCGCATCAAGAAAACCTTTTCGCAGCTATTCAAAAAATTTTGGAGGAAGATATCCCATCTTTTTTACGTAAAACTAGGGCTCAGTAGAACAAAATTTCAACAAATTATTACATATATTTTGTGAAACAGACATCTGATGGAAATGAAAAATAAAGGTAATAATTACCTATGCTCCTCGTTACTCTCCGTTGCGAAGAGAATAGTTCCAGTCAGAATTTCAAAAACATTTAGCGTTAATAGAAGAAATCTCGGATTTTTTTTTTTAATTTATTTGGAAAATAATTATTTGTATCTATTTATTATTTTAAAATAAATAAAAACATTACAAAGCAAAATTCTGGATAGGTACTGATTTTTGAACCATATGATAGCTGTCAAAAAAAATTCCACTTATTAATTTTGTTGCAGGAGGAAAAAAATTCCGAAAAATTTGAAGGTTGCCATGGGTAACTGTCGAAATTACAGTATGTAATTGGCTTAAAATGACAGGTGTAAAATTTTCGACGAAATAAACGTTGATTTGCAACAACTGAATTTGTACACAAATAATGTGAAACACAAATACACGGTGCTAATCCGTGTAATTGTTAATGACAAATAATGATAGTAAAATTGAAACTAGTAAAATGCGTTGTTTAATGTAACCAATGTTTAATGTTGATATAGTGTATTTTTGTGTTTTAATTTACAAGTTTCTGTATAACATAAAAATTTATGTAAACGAATCAAGAAAGATTTGATATGGTTAAAGCCTACTTTTTCTCAGAAAATAGGACGCTGCTGCAAGAAGTCGACTATCAGATGGATTATCCCGAGCGGATAAGATTGGTTCAACATTTAAGATATTATAGACACGCTGATGTTAGACGAGAACAAACTCAGAGGGCACGAAACTTAGAATCAGAAATTTAAAACGCCGTCGAAGAGGGTCCTGGTACTAATAGTCGAAGACTACCCACAAGATTTTAAATAAGTAATATGGCACAACAAACCCAAGCTTCACTCACTACATGTTCAGAAAATACAGGCGCTGAAAGATTTACCAATACTAAAGAATTCTGCGAGTGGTATAGAGAAAATGCAACGAAGGAGACAACTTTTTGCTCAAGTGCATTGAGGCGTGTTTCATTTGTCATTATTTAATTATTACTGTTTGAATTTGTTGTTAGATAATTTGGTAGGTATCGTTTCATAGTGCATCTTTTGCTCATTCCCAGGTAAGTGCATATCAAATAATTGAATGATGGAATATATTATTGTGTTCCTTTCCAATAATTTCTGTCAATTATGCAGTACTAGGAATGCTGAAACTTAAAAATTAATAATAACTCACCACTTGTATGGATCACTTGAGAAATTGCTCCCCCTGAAAGCAAAAAAAGAAGGATTGATTAATTCAACATATATAAAATAGTAAATTTTTACAAGTAGGCAAAAATATTGCATATTTAGGAGAGGTAGGCTATTTAACGAATTGTAATCAGGAGAGAGAAATTCGGTAACAATACTACTAAGCGTAATTACAAATTGGTTTTTATATATACAAATAAAAATTAAATAAATCGTAATCACAACAATAATTTGACACTTGGGTGAGTAAATAAGAAGTTAAGGTAGCGGGGCCTTCGAGGTTTCCGTCATAGTTCATGGTTTGTTTTGTTCGTCAGTTCATCTCCCGCATTAATATAAAGAATATAAAGAAATTTAAAATACCTTGATGTGAAGCGATTGTTGGGTTGCGGTTCTTATTGAAAGTCAAATGCATAAAACAAACCGACTCTTACAGAAGCTCTACTGGGTATTTTTATTACATGATCTAATTTTTATGTTCGTGTGTGTAATACTCCGATGCATGCGTCTGATAATGAACAATTTCGATTATTTTTCTACCATCCCGCAATACTATTTTAGCATGGTATCAGGCTTACTGATGGTAATATTGCGACAAATCCACGGTGAAACACAAATACACGCTGCTAACCCGTGTAATTGTTAATGACAAATAATGATAATTATTGTTCAACACACTCCCATGCCGTTTTAATATCAATCCCCATACAAATTCAAAATTTGGTCACAAATAAAATAGTTACTAAGTAACCAGAAAAACTACATTACACATGTATAGATGATGCCTGCTAAAAATGGGCCTTTCACAATTAGGTAGATTCTATTATGAAAATTAATGGCAGTAATTTTAATAAAAATATGTCAATAGATGCTTTGATTGAACTTTGATTGAAGCCAAAATCTATATAACAAATGTTTTCTAATTTTACATGATGAATAACATCCTGGACCTGTACATACATCAGGTACAGTTTCAGATTAAAAAATTTAATGGCGTGCAATTGTTATTACAGATAATCTTTTTCGAAATAAACCTAAATAAAAAATATGCCATATTTACAATCCCCAAACATTTTACAAGCAAAATATGTTTACTAGTTTCATGTCCATAAAATGGATCTGCAAGAAAAATTGATTTTTATTTAGTACTGCATAATGTATTATTATTATTGGTTATAAATGTCACCTCACCTTAAACTTTCTGGTTGTTAAGTTTATGAAAAAAATGTGAATCAAGAAGCTTAGCTATTAATTTAAAGTATCATACTACGAGATAAAACTTTGTACAGGGTGTTTGAACCCTGGTGGTCTTAAATTGTCTTCTAATATTCTCAGAACGGATTTATATAAAAAATATAAGTACCTATGTACTTTTTTTACTTATTTTTTTTTATAGTTGACACATCGTGGAAAATCTGCAAAAATATTTTTTTTTATTCAGCAATAATTCAATATGACGCAGTTGATAGAAAATAAAAGTTGCTCATACAAATGTATTATTCCCCAATACGAATAGCAAGCCTTAGGAATCCACAAAAAAAATGGCAACTAAGTGGTTATATATAATCGTTGACACCAACAACGTCTTCAAAAGCTTTCCAATTTGAACGGAAAAACGCAACAAATTACATGTTCTACGAAAACGATTTGCTTAATCCCAGATGAGTGCTTGTAAATCAAATAAATGATGGAATACATTATTGTGTTCCTTTCCAATAATTTCTGTCAATTATGCAGTACTAGGAATACTAAGAAGGTTTAAAAATAATAACTCACCATATGTGCGGAATGTTTGTGTCAGTGCTCCAACTGAAAGCAAAAAAGAAAAATTGAATAATTCAATGTAGACAGTAAATTTTTATAAGTAAACAAAAATATTGCCTATTTAAAAGTGGTAGGCTATTTAACAAATTATTACCAATGGAGAGAATTTCCGTAATAATACAGAACTATAATTCATACTAAGCGTAATTACGAATTGGTTTTGATATACACAAAAAGAAATAAATAAATAAAATGTAATCATGATAATTTGACACTTCTGTGAATAAATAAGACGCTGAGGTAGCAAGGGGCATCAGTATTTACGACGTAGTTCGTGGTTTGTTTCGTTCGTCAGTTCATCTCACACGTTGATGTATTGCTAGAAAAGTAGGCAAGTCGGGATGCATCGACTTGAACTTTCGCTCGTACCTGCGATACTCGGGCCGTGCTGCGCGCAGTATGAGCACCGCTTTGAGGTTCACCATCTTCTACACTACATCATCATATACATCGCCATAATACACATCACCATGATCTACATCACCATCATGTACATCATCATCATCTACATCATCATCTATAATCCCATCATCTACAGCACCGTCATCATTATTATCATCATCTACATCACTATCATCTACATCACCACCATCTACGTCGCCATCATTTACATCACTATCGCCTACATTAACATCATTTACATTGTAATCATCTACTTCACCATCTTCTACATTATCATATACGTAGCCATAATACACATCACCATGATCTACATCACCTACATGTACATCACCATCATCTACATTACCACCATCTAGATCACCATCATCTACATCGCCATCATCTACATCGCCATCATTTACATTACCATCATGCACATCACCATAATCTACAGGTACATCAGCATCATCAACATCGCCATAATCTACATCACCATCATCTACGTCGCCATCATCTACATCACCATCATCTACATCAATATTTTGTGAAACATTCTGTATAGAAATTTTCAAAAAGGCATCTGGTTAGTAAAAATAAAAATTTTCATCACTAGACTTCAATAAATAAAGCAGAAAATGTAAAAATGATATGGAATAATCTAGTCCTTCACGGTTCTGTCCTGAATCAATTTTATAGAACATTCATTATACCAGGATGTCTGCTAAAGAATGAGCCTTTCACAACTAGATTCTACATAAGATGAAAATTAATGGCAGTAGTGTTAATAAAAATGTATTACGGGCGCTTTACTTTCAAGATAAAGGGTGTTGAATTTTAAAAAATTGAACTTACTTTTAGCCAAAATCTATATCGCAATTGTTTTCTAATTGTACATGATGAATAACATTCTTGTCGTAGCCTCAGGTACAGTTTCAGTTGAATAAAAAATGTAATTTCGTGCAATTGTTATTATAGAGAATCTTTTTTGAAATAAATAATGCGCCACGGACTAATATGTCGTATGACTGCTCAACACACACAAGCTTCACTCACTATATCTATATCATGTTCAGTAAATACAGGCGCTGAAAGATTTACCAACACGTATAGAATTCTGCGAAATAAATGATTGATGGAACACATTAACATTATTGTGTTCCTTTCCAATAATTTCTGTCAATTATGCGGCACTAGGAATACTAAAGTTGAAAAATTAATAATAACTCACTTCCTGTGTCGATTCTTTGATCCACTAGTCCTCCTGAAAGCAAAAAAAGAAAGATTAATTAATACAATGTAAACAGTAAATTTTTATAAGTAGACAAATATATTGCATATTTAGAAGAGGTAGGCTAGCTATTTAACGGATTATAGTCAGTGGAGAAATTTTCGGTAACAATACGAAACCACAATTCATACTAAGCGGAATTACAAATTGGCTTTTATATTCACAGAAATATTAAATAAAACATAGTCATAATAATTTCACACATCGGTGAGTAAATAAGACGCTGGATATAGCGGGGCATTAGGTTTACGCTGTAGTTCGTGGTTTGTTTCGTTCGTCAGTTCATCTCAAACATTAATATATTGCTAGAAAAGTAGTCAAGTCGGGATGCGTCGACTTGAACTTTCGCTCGTACCTGCGACACTCGGGCCGTGCTGCGCGCAGTATGAGCACCGCTTCGCGGAGCTTTGTTTTGCGCAAACGTTTTTGAATCATCATAACCAACATCTACATCACTATCATCTACATCACCACCATCTACGTCGCCATCATTTACATCACCATCACCTACATTAACATCATTTACATTGCAATCATCTACTTCACCATCTTCTACATCATCATATACATCGCCATAATACACATCACCATGATCTACATCACCATCATCTACACCATTATCTACAGCACCGTCATCATTATTATCATCATCTACATCACTATCATCTACATCACCACCATCTACTTCGCCATCATTAACATCATTTACATCGTAATCATCTACTTCACCATCTTTTACATCATCATATACGTCGCCATAATACACATCACCATGATTTACATCACCAACATTTACATCACCATCATCTACATCACCACCATCTAGATCACCATCATCTACATCGCCATCATTTAGATCGCCATCATGCACATCACCATAATCTACAGGTACATCAGCATCATCAACATCGCCATAATCTACATCGCCATCACCTACGTCGCCATCATCTACATCACCATCATCTACATCACCATCATCTACATCATTCTTTTGTGAAACATTCTGTATAGAAAGTTTCAAAAAGGCATCTGGTTAGTAAAAATAAAAATTTTCATCACTAGACTTCAAGAATGGGCCTTTCACAACTAGATTCAACAAAATTAATGACAGTAGTTTTAATAAAAATTTATTAACGGGCGCTTTACTTTCAAGATACAGGGTGTTGAATTTTAAAAAATTGAACTTTCTTTTAGCCAAAATCTATATAGCAATTGTTTTCTAATTTTACATAATGAATAACATTCTTGTCGTATCCTCAGGTACAGTTTCAGTTGATTAAAAAATGTAATTTCGTGCAATTGTTATTATAGAGAATCTTTTTTGAAATAAATAATACGCCACGGACTAATATATCGTATGACTGCTCAACACACACAAGCTTCACTCAGTATATCTATATCATGTTCAGTAAATACAGGCGCTGAAAGATTTACCAACACGTATAGAATCCTGCGAAATAAATGATTGATGGAATACATTAACATTGTTGTGTTCCTTTCCAATAATTTCTGTCAATTATGCGGCACTAGGAATACTAAAGTTGAAAAATTAATAATAACTCACTTCCTGTGTCGATTCTTTGATCCACTAGTCCTCCTGAAAGCAAAAAAAGAAAGATTAATTAATACAATGTAAACAGTAAATTTTTATAAGTAGACAAATATATTGCATATTTAGAAGAGGTAGGCTAGCTATTTAACGGATTATAGTCAGTGGAGAAATTTTCGGTAACAATACGAAACCACAATTCATACTAAGCGGAATTACAAATTGGCTTTTATATTCACAGAAATATTAAATAAAACATAGTCATAATAATTTCACACATCGGTGAGTAAATAAGACGCTGGATATAGCGGGGCATTAGGTTTACGCTGTAGTTCGTGGTTTGTTTCGTTCGTCACTTCATCTTACACATTAATATATTAAATATAAAAAAATTTAAAATACCTTGATGTAAAGCGATTTTGTTGGGTTCTTATCGAAAGTCAAATACATAAAACAAACCGACTCTTACAGAAGCTCTACCGGGTATTTCTATTATATGATCAACACGCAGTTGATAATGAACAATTTCGATTATTTTTCCACCATCCCGCAATACTGTTTTATTACGGTATTAGGCTTACTGATGGTAATATGGCGACAAAAAAATCCACGATGAAACTGTCCACAAAATGAACGTTGACTTGACAACCGAATTTGTACGCAAATAATGCGAAACATAAATACACGCTGTTAACCCGTGTAACTGTTAATGACAAATAATGATAATAATCTATCCCTCTCATGCCGTCTTATTTGCAATCCTCAAACAAATTCAAAATCGGACCTCAACTAAAATAGTTATTGCATACTTAAATTTGTCAGTCCATTATGGACTTCCCTGTAGATAACAGAGCTTGAATTCAAAATGTTAGAAAAGTGACCAAGTGACCAAAAAGTGACTTTTCTAATATAAGTAATAACGTCATTAGTAACCTTTACTATGTGAAGTCCAGTTCTGCAAGAGAGAGTGACCAATACCTTTGTAACAGCATGTGCTTGATCATTGTTTACACGAGTGAAATATGCCAGCTGACTTTACACCTGTAATATGACAATGAATGGTAAACGGGTAAAAAAGAAACTACTACATTAATTTGGCGAAACGAGAATGACCGAATACGTCGTCACCACTTAGTGAAGTAGTGAAGTATATATTAGTTTATTAGACTCGAAATAGAATTTCTATAATACCGTAGTTTTTTTAGTTTAAATTTATAGTAAAACTGAAACTAGTAAAGTGCTTTGTTTAGTGTAATAATAAAGTTAGTAATTGCAATGTTTAGTGACGATATAGTGTAATTCTTGTGTTTTCATTTATAAGTTTGACATTGCGAAAAATCATGTAACACAAGAAAGAGTTGATATGGTTAGAGCCTACTTTTTCTTGGAGAAAAGGATGTTGCTGCAACAAGTCGATTATCAGATGGATTATTCCGAGCGACAAGTAAGAAACAAGGAAGTATGTTGTTACGATGTCAATTGGAACCTGTAAATCTTAAAGCACACGACCGTATGCATTTCTCCCGAAATTTCTTTATATGCTGCGTATTATCGAAAAATACCAAGAGACTTTTTAGATTGCTTTTGTATGGTAGTATTTAAATTTACTTTACATTCTTCGAAAAACTCAATGTCGTATTTTTTTTTTTTTTCATGCATTGAAATCTTAATAGTCCAAGAATCTCATGAACGCTGCGTATTATCGAAAAATACCAAGAGACCTTTTAGATTGCTTTTGTATGGTAGTATTTAAATTTACTTTACATTCTTCGAAAAACTCAATGGCGTACTTTTTTTTTAAAAAAGGGGCCACGCATCCCCCCTTTGCACGCCACTGGCTAATGCGATGGGACTAAATTCTGTCAATTATGAGAACCCCCAATACGCATAATGTGTACCAAGTTTAAATCAAATTTACTCGTGGATAGCCGAGATATGTCAAAAAGTGTTCATTTTTTTTAAGCTTCAACGCCCTGTATCTCCAAAACAAAGGCTTTCAAAAAAAATTTTTATAGAGCAAACTACACTTAATTTTTGATAGGGAATACATTCCTGCGCATTTTCCAAATTTAAAATGAAAACACCCTGTATATGAATGTTTGAAAATTGAAAATAGTGAACAATGTTATAAAAAAGTTAGGAACGGATTAAGGAATTAACTAAGAAATCAAAAATGACAATTTATCCCGTAATTAAAGAAGGATTGATCACGGTAAAAGAGGAAACGGAAAAATACAAAATTAAAGAAAATTGACGATTTTACCAGATGTAATGTGGCGAACAATTTATAATATGTACCTATAAAGAAAATGCAGTTCCTACTAAAACTTTAAATTAAGCGATTATCCTGATTATAATTTTAAATCTTTACATATTTTACGACATGCTTTATTACAATGCGATTTTAAACATAAAAAAACTTGACAATCGTTTGGTAATTATATGGTAATATAGCTCGGAATATAGTATATCTAGACGAGACAGGGCTAAATTTTTCTGGACGTCTACGGATTCCGTAGAATTTATGAGTTAAATCTTTTTATGCGGTTCCAATTGAGATCGTAATAACTATATGTGTAAGATTGGATTAACATTTAAGAGATTATCAGATCTTTGAATAGCAATATGCTAATATTAGACGAGGACAAACTTAGAGGGCACGAAATTTAGAATAACAAATTTAAAACGCCGTTCTATTTATCATTAATGTTATTACGTTATTTCATTTATCATTATTAACTTGTTACGTACTGTTTCATAGTGTATCTGTTTTTAAATGAATTAAATTTTTGTTTATGTGGATGGCAGGACTCTTAAGCGGATGGTGTGAAAATTTGCTTTCTACTAAAAACTTGACAACAATGCATACCGCAGTGCCCAAGTGTGTATCCGCTGCGACTAACGCGGGAGGTTGTTCAATGTCACACTGTCCAGTGAAGGAATATGAAAAATTGTGAAAAAAAAAGGTTAAAAATAATTCTGTTCCCTACGGAATTTAAGAAAATAAACTTATATGTTTCTAAAGGTAAAATGAAACCTCCCTAATCAAAGTTATAGCTTGTACAAAAAAATTGTATTTTTGTTTCTTTTTAATTTTTTGAGAAAGGGTAAATTCTATGTTTGGTTCGTGGATAGTAACATAAATTATTGTCATTTTAAAGGGTTGCTAAATACATTTACAGCAACTAGGACATCCTCGAGGACACCCTGTTATTTCCATCAAATCAATTACAAGAATACAAACGTTCATCCTCCACAAATTACATATGTTCTACGAAAACTATTTGCTCAACCCGAAGTAAGTGCTTATGAACTAAATGAGGGATGGAATACATTACTGTGTTCCTTTAAAATTATGTCTGTCAATTATGCAGGAACAATAAAGTTTAAAAATTAATAATAACTCACCATGTGTGTCGAATGTTTGTGTCACTGCTCCTCCTGAAACCAAAAAAAAAGATTGATTAATTCAATATAGACAGTAAATACTTATAAGTAGGCAAATATATTGCATATTTAGAAGAGGTAGGCATTCTACGGATTATAATCAGAGAAGATAATTTCGGTAACAATACAGAACTATCATACTAAGCGAATACTAATTACGAATTGGTTTTTATATATACACAAAAAATTTCCACCATCTGGCAATATTATTTTAGCATGGTGTCAGGATTACTAATGGTAATATTGCGACCAAAAAATCCACGATGAAACTCTCGACGAAATAAACGTTAACCCAACAACCAAATTTTTTTTCACAACGAGATTCATGATGAAAATTAATGGCAGTAGTTTCAATAAAAATTTGTTAACATACGCTTTACTTTCAAGATACATGGTGTTGAAATTTAAAAAATTGAACTTAGTTTTAGCCAAAATAAATCTATATAGCAATTATTTTCTAATTTTACATGATGAATAAGATCCTGGACCATATCATCAGGTACAGTTTCAGTTGATTAAAAATCTAGTAATAAAAAAGATACTATATTTAGAATCCCCAGATATTTTACCAGAAAATATGTTTACTAGTTTGATGTTCATAGAATGCATTTGCAAGAAAAACTGATGTTCATTACTGCATAATGTATTATTTAGTGACCGACCGAAGTTTCGGTTTCGGCCAATTCGGAAAAATCCAGGCGGCCACTGACAATTTGAGTACCTACTATGTAAGTATTTGTTTGTTTTTGTTTTTATTTCCGTAATGTAATGGTATTTGTTTGATAACAAAATTGAATTATTTGCTCGCATTAATAATAAAGGAATGAGAAATGAGAATATGCAGAAACGCCCTTTATTTTTAAGAGATGACATTAAACACCAACTGAGTATTTTCAACAGACCTACAAACCTAGCCATCAAGCGTCAAAAAATATTGATTAGATCAAAACTTATAAACAGAAAAAGTTTATTTATGACTTTTGAATTAAACATTTATAAACTGCGTTATTATTACCAGAACGTTTTGACATCGCATCCTCTAATTCCTTATCACTGTCTAATAACTCACACAAAATCTGGAATCGGTAAGTTGAATAGTGTACAAGTTATGGCCTTATAAACAAATTAACTAATTATTAGTCTGGACGATCCCGAGCATCTTCCACAATCGCATTGAATTTTTTCATGGTACATTTCATAATAATACATTAAAATATCATTTTTTTTAATTTCAGATTTGCAACCTGGAAAGCTTTTTTATTTTTCAGCCTTAGTTGCAAAATAAAATATACGACGCACGCACGTGATATAGTTACATATTATTACATATTCGGAAATCTTATGAAAAGAGCTTTAAGTTAAAAAAAAAATCGTCAAAATTCGTTGAAAAACAACGGAGTTACAGACTATCAAGGAAATTGAAGCTGCATAAACAAGCTATCTGGTCCATGCAATGGCTTCGGCGGAAAAAAATGTTTCCAAGTCCTTGGACCCAGAAAAAGAAATAAAAAAATTTGCAAAATTTTTTGTAGCGCTTTTTCTTAGAATTGCAAGATAACTGTAGCTCCTAAAAATTTTCAACCGAAAGATCTAAAAACTAGAATCTTAGAGCTTCAAAATTTTTTTTTTAAATTCCCGAAACGACCATTTTTCGCCTAAATACAGTCTGTCAAAAATCACGGAAAAATTTCGGAAAGTTTTTTGACCCTTTAATTGTTTGCATTAGTGTACATATACAGGGTGTCCCATTTTTATTCTGAAAAAATTCAGGAAAATGTAGATCCGATAAAATTAAAGGGACTTTACTATATAAACTTATTTCGAAATCTGAACCATTTTCGAAATACAGGGTGTTGAAGTTGAATTTTTTTTATCATTTTTTGTTAATATCACTTAGAGTTGTAAATCAATAGTTCTCAAATTTTGTGTGGTGAATGCCACAGTNAGTGTATCTGTTTTTAAATGAATTAAATTTTTGTGTATGTGGATGGCAGGACTCTTAAGCGGGTGGTGTGAAAATTTGCTTTCTACTAAAAACTTGACAACAATGCATACCGCAGTGCCCAAGTGTGTATGCGCTGCGACTAACGCGGGAGGTTGTTTAATGTCACACTGTCTAGTAGCGGAATATGAAAAATTATGAAAAAAAGGTTAAAAATAATTCTGTTCACTATGGAATTTAAGAAAATAAACTTATATGTTTCTAAAGGTAAAATGTAGCCCCCTATTCAAAGTTATAGCTTGTACAAAAAAATTTTATTTTTTATTTTTTAATACAAACGTTCATCTTCCACAAATTACATATGTTCTACGAAAACTATTTGCTCAACCCCAAGTAAGTGCTTATGAACTAAATGAGGGATGGAATACATTACTGTGTTCCTTTAAAATAATATCTGTCAATTACGCAGGAACAATAAAGTTTAAAAATTAATAATAGCTCACCATGTGTGTCGAATGTTTGTGTCACTGCTCCTCCTGAAACCAAAAAAAAAAAGATTGATTAATTCAATATAGACAGTAAATACTTATAAGTAGGCAAATATATTGCATATTTAGAAGAGGTAGGCATTGTACGGATTATAATCAGAGAAGAGAATTTCGGTAACAATACAGAACTATGATTCATACTAAGCGAATACTAATTACGAATTGGTTTTTATATATACACAAAAAATTTCCACCATCTGGCAATATTATTTCAGCATGGTGTCAAATAAGAAGTGGATCTTATTTGTGGAAGGGCGAAATGGGCGTTAACTATTAGACGCCTTCATTATAGCCATCCTTGTCTATCACATGGATTTCTATGGCTTACTTTATCGCTCTCACGTAACTTCTGATAGACCATCGGTACTTTCCTACACTGTATATACTTATATGTTTCTGTGAAGATCTTAGTATCTCTTCTATATTTGTTTTTAATTGAATATGGAAATATGGAAATAGTATTTATCTTTATAACGTTACAATTCAAGATTATGTTGCTTTAATTATGTAATTATTTTTGTTTATTATTTTATTTATATAATTTCCTTGACTACTGTCACTCTCATGTAATGCTCTGTCCTGATCTATATTCTCTGGAACTCTTGACTCTTAACCAGATCTTGAGACCTAGTAAGTTGCCACTACATTTCTAAAGGTGAAATGTAACCTCCCTATAAATGTGATCTCTATACCTTGTATAAAAAATATACTTTTGTTTCTTTTTTATTTATTTATTTTTTTTTGAGAAATGATAAATTTTATGTTTGGTCCGTAGTTGGTGAAACCAAATAGTAACATAAATGATTGATATTTTAAAGGGTTCATTTAGAGCAACTAGGACACCCTCGAGAACACCCTGTTATTTCCATTAATTCAATTTTAAAAATTTAAGTGTTCGACACACATATGAAATCGTCCCATTTTTGCTCATACAAAAGCATTATTTCCGAGTACGAATACGCAAGTCATAGGAATGCACAAAGAAATGGTAACGTCGACTATGTGGTTACCTATATGTAATCGTTAAGAGCAACAACGCCTTTCAAAAGCTTCCCAACTTGAACGAAAAAACGCAACAAATTACATATGTTCTACGAAAATAATTTGCTCAATCCCAAGTAAGTGTTTACGAAATAAATGAATAATGGAATACATTATTGTGTTCCATTCCAATAATTTCTGTCAATTATGCAGTACTAGGAATACTATAGTTTAAAAATTAATAACTCACCTTCTGTGGTAACTGTTTGTACCAGTGGTTGTCCTGAAAGCAGAAAAGGAAAGATTGATTAATTCAATGTTAACAGTAAATTTTTATAAGCAGGCAAAAATATTGCATTGAAGTGTCAGTGTTACGAGAAACAACTACTCCGAGAGCTATATGCCCCTACCGGCATTGAATTATACTCGCAACACCTAGTGCAACAGCTAGGATCGTTTGTCAGTTTAACCCACCAGGCACAGACCGGTTTCGGACTTATTAGTCCTCATCAGTGTGTCATGGGTCCGACAACCGACAAACGACCCAGCTGTTCTTCGTCGTATCATCACGACCAGAAAATACATTTTACGCGGGACAGATGGAGCCATTTGCGCACCCGCGTATAAAAATATTGCATATTTAGAAGAGCTAGGCTATTTAAGGAATTATAATCAGAGAATAATTTCGGTAACAATACAGAACAATAATTACTGTTAAGCGTAATTACAAATTGGTTTTTATAAACACAAAAAAAATTAAATTAAACATAATCATAATAATAATTTGGTACTTCGAGTAAATAAGACGCTGAAGCAGCGGGGGCATCAGAATTTACGTTGTAGTTCGTGGTTTGTTTCGTTTGTGAGTTCATCTGACACATTAATATTGTACCGAATTTGCTTTATTTAAAACAAATTTTCACAAACTTTACACACACAGCTTATAATTTTGACAATTCACAATGACAAATAATATGTAATTTAACCTCAAACACTTCAAAAACACCCCCGCGCGTCAGCGTGTCCGTTTATATAGTTTTCCTTGTTTTTCATATTTTCCATGGGTTTCTAAGAACAGTATAGAATAATATTTAAGCATCTAAGAATATAATAGAAAAAACAGAACATATTCTAGAAATATCATGAAACAAATAAGTAAACAAACGTATATGCGGAGCACACTAAGCTTAATTTCGCTACACTGCCCTCCACCTACTCCACTATGGATTTCTCTCAGCACTTCATTTACTCAATTCCTTGGAAGAATGACCTGTTTGCATACTTCTTTACCGTCTTGACTTTCCCCCTCCCTCTTAAGTAACCCATTTTTTAAGATAAGGGAGTCCCATATTGCCCAGTATTTTTTTAACGTCGATGATTGATCCGATATTTCTGTCCATTTTGGTCGAGTTCCATGTTCTTTACAACTAATAGACGATTTTAGACTGTCATCATTCCGTTGGTCTTCAGTAAGTTGTTTCCGTTACAATTGTTGTTCTTCGGGACAAGTTCCCAAACTCTTTTGTCTCAGCTCAGTTGCATGTGCACATCTTTCGGGACACGGTCATCTGGTACTGCATCTGTGCTCCCATGAAGTCGTCCTCTTCTATGTTCAATAGTGAAGTCATATACTTGTAAAATTTGTAACCAACGAGCTATCTGACCTTCAGGGTTCTTAAATTGAAATAACCATTTCATGGAGGCATGGTCTGTTCTCAGTTTGAACCATTGTCCATAGAGATATTTATGGGAGTGCGTTACAGTTTTCACAATGGCTAATAACTCCTTCCTGGTCATACAGTAGTTCTTCTCCGGTTCTGACAATGCCTTGTTAAAGTAAGCTATTATTCTTTCCTCTTCATCCTGCATTTGTGGTAAGACGCCTCCGATTCCAGTGTTGCTAGCATCTGCATCACCAGGTCGTGGATAGACTAATATCGGTATTTAAGTTTTTCAAATGTCTGCTGTTATTTTGGAGTCCAATCATAGAGTTGATCATTTTCAGTTAGTCGGTGTAATGGACTAGCAAGATCTGCAAACTCTCGAACAAATCTCTCTAATAGGAGCACAGACCTAGGAAGCTTCTTAAATGATGTTTGTCCTTAGGAACAGGCCCGCTTCGTACAGTTTCAGTTTTTCTCGGATCAGTTTTAACACCATTTGGTGATATAACATGACCCAGTTATTCGACTTGCTTTTGAAAGATTTTAGATTAGCTCCTTAATCTTCTCGAAAACATCATCGATGTTCTTCAAATGTCTTGTCCAAGATAATGACGTCGTCGAGGAATACAAGACAGGTATTCCAGATAAATCCTTGTAATACAATCTCTATGAGATATTCGAAAGTGGCCGGAGCATTGCTGAGGCCAAACGGCATGACATTAAAGTGCCATAAACCTGTTTCAGTAGAGAAAGCCGTCTTTTCTTTGTCTTTTGGATCAACTTCTATCTGACTTTTAAGGTCCAGCGTCGACAACCAATTTGCATTTGCCAGGGTGTCTTTAGTGTCATCGATACTGGGTAGACGATAGCTGTCTTTCTTTATAATGTCATTTACCCTTCTGCAGTCAACACAAAATACGGTAAAACGGTCTTTATTGGTGACTAACACTACTTGTGAACTCCATGGGCTGTTCGATGGTTCAATTACACTTTGATGTTCCATGTTCTTTAGAAGGTTTTTTACTTCTTGTTTAGTCAGTGGAACTCTTTGCCTTGATTAATAGGTGCATGATCACTAGTGTTGATCTTGTGCTGGACTATGTCAGTTGTTCCTAAGTTGTCTTCTGATAGGGCAAATACATCTTTGTATTTCGATAAAAGATTATTAAAACACCTTAGCTATAAATTGCTCAAGCATGGTTTTGCCTTTTCTTCCAGAATCTTCAAGCTGGCAGGAACTTCACCTTCAGTGACACTGTTGGATTTTGCCGGGGTGTCTTCACACACGATATAGACTGACATTTTCCAATAACTTCAATCAGCTTCACTTCGTGAACATCCACATTCTCCAGATTCAAAAGTATGACTGACTCAGATAAAGCTGGGAGTAAAACATCTTCATACCGTTGCTCTTCGTACTTGATCATGAGATAATGACATTGACATTATTATTTCATCTTGTCTAGTAGCAATAACACTTCTTGTAGATTTGGATGGAAACCATCTTCCATTAGTCCTAAACCCATTAGCACGTCATCAACAATATTGACCACAAAAACTTGATGTCGAAAAATTTTACATGATGAATATAATCCTGAAAAATACATATATATCATCAGGTACAGTTTCAGTTTATTAAATAATCTAGTGACGTGCAGTTGTTATTACAGATAATCTTTTTCGAATTAAATGATACGCCATTGACTAAAATAAAAAAGAGGCCATGTTTAGAATCCCCAGACATTTTGCAAGCAAAATATGTTTACTAGTTTCATGTCCATAAAATGCATTTGCATGAAAAACCGATTTACCAACACGCATAGGATTCTGCGAATGGTATAGGAAAAAATGCAATGAAGGACACTTTTGCCACAAGTGTGTTGAGGCGTGTTTGGGCACCAATGGAGGAAATTTTGAGTAAACGCTGTAAAAGTCAGATGAGCAGACAGAAAATTTACTTATTTTTGTGTATTTCATTTGTCATTATTTAATTATTACTGTTTGAGTTTTCTATTAGATAACTGGATAGGTACTGTTTCACAGTGTCTCTTTTAAAACAATTAAATTTTCGTTTATGTGGGATGGAAGGGCTCCTAAGCGGGTAGTGTGAGAATTTGTTTTCTACTGAACGGAAAAACGCAGCAAATTACATATGTTCTATGAAAACGATTTGCTCAATCCCATGTAAGTGGTTATGAAATAAATGTATGATGGAGTACATTATTGTGTTCCTTTCCAATGATTTCTATCAATTATGCAGTACTAGGAATGCTAAAGTTTAAAAATGAATAATAACACTCACCTTTTGTGTCGATTGTTTGTGTCAGCGCTTGTCCTGAAAGCAAAAAAAAAAGATTAATTAATTCAGTGTAATTTTTATAAGTAGGCGAATATATTGCATATTTAGAAGAGGCTATTTAACGGATTATAATCAGTGGAGAGAATTTCGGTAACAATACAGAACTATAATTTATACTGAGCGTATTGCGAATTAATTTTGGTGAAAGTGGGCCAAAATAGAGCCAAAAATAGTAATTTTTTTACAACCATGAACCATTAAGCTTTTACTAACCGTGAATATGCCGATATACATTTTATTTATGGTTTCAGTAATGGAAATAGTCTGGCAGCTCAAAAATAGTATCGGCAACGTTTCCCTGGTAGAATGCAACCTTCTGCAAGATTGTTGTGTGAGTGTTCATGCAAGAACGACGGAATCAGGAGCCCTAACTCCAAGATATCGTGAATTTGGCTGTCCAAGGAGGCGTAGGCATGATTTAGACGAAGTAATTGTAGGATTTTTTTAACGTAATCCTACTGCGAGTGTAAGAAGAGCGTCTGCTCATGATGTAAGATCACAACTAAGAAAATAAAGAAACGTAAGAATTTAAATGATGCGAAAGTGACAATCATTAGTACCATTACAATGAAACTGTCACCATGAAAGATGCCTACTATGTGAAAATGCTAGAGAAAATAGTATTTTTTTCCCAAAACAGGTTGTTTCATGTCTATAATGACTGGACTATCTATAGTAACTTCTTATTCGACCTTTAACGCGGATTTTTTACTGAAATGTTCCTTGTTTCTTTCTATAACAGATTTTTATGAAAAATCTAATCTAATTCCGTTTCCTAAGGAAAAACCTTGGAGACGTATTTAAGTAGATAGAAGTTTGGATCCATAATTTTGGTCATGTACCGAAATTGTTCGATTATGATGGAGTAACAATTTACCAGTCTGATGTTTAATTCGCTTTGGACAGCCAATCAAAAAGATTTAGATGAATCTAATAAAAACCGGTACGAAACGATTTTAAAACCACTTTGAATTCAAAATCCGGTAAAACAAAGACAGCTGCATTGGGCCACTGGGCAATAAATCTCAGCTGTTGACAAGTGGTTGATAAATTGCCCAGCAGTGCAGTGCAGCAATGCGGAATTTGGTGTGATTCAGGTAATTTTAATTTATTATAGGCACCTTCTATCAATATCTTTTGAAACGGAATAAAACGAATTTTACCATCAATATAATAAAATTAATAAATAATTAAAATATGATGTTGGCCAAATCAACATATAACAGAAATTTTCTGCACATTATATACAAATTATTATAATTTTTTACCTTTAGCAGAAAACTTTTTTAGGGACGCCTATGAAACTCATTAAATTTTATTGCCAGGCGTTTTTTTGCATATTCAACTGACTTCGGAAAAACTATAGAGATAAAGAAGAGAAAAAACTAAAGATCACTTGCGGAACTTTTACCTTCAACCCTTGTTGCCGAACTAGTTTCCTTGACATCGTGTTGTACAATCACCGTCCACCTTCAAGGACAGGATTTGTGAGAAATATACATCTATTTTTTTAACTGTGTTATTTAATTCTCCACATCCTACCTACAGGGTGAGAAAACCGTTATGGAGGTTATAGATTTCATACCACTTTTTTAGGTTGGCGCCCATTTTAATAACTTATTTTTTTATTCCCTATAACGTTTTCTCAAACTGGAAAATATTAAGCTAAAACAAATCCACCTCCTCTTTGCCTCCTCTACGAGTACCTATAAGTGCTACCGTTCGCACCTTATTCGTTTCATCCTATAAGTACGGCATAAAAAAAATTGTACTTTTGTTTCTTTTTTTATTTTTCAGCAATTATATTTACTAATGCATTATTCCCGAGGGGTAAACCGCTGAGGAAGTTTTTGTACATGTCCCCAGGAAGTCGGGAAGAAGTTGGAGGAAGTTATAAGGAAGTTGAGGAAGTTGAAAGGAATTCCGAATGATAGAAATTCCGAAGGAAGTCGAGGAAATTTTTAGGAATTCCAAGGAAGTTGAGGAAGTCTGGAGGAAGTTTAGAGGAAGTCGGGAAGTTGGAACCAAACTGCGCATGCGTGAACGGTGAACACATGCGCAGTATTATCTTTTATAGAAAAATGCGGAGAATGTTAACATTTATGTGGAAGAATTACGACGCAGTCTAGAGAAGGTCCGAGGAAGTTTGACGAAGTATAGAGAAGTTTTTGTACAGAATTCAGGGAGCGCTTTACCCCTCGATTATTCCCGAGTACGAATACGCAAGTCATAGGAATCAACAAAAGAATGGTAACACCGATTAAGTGGTTGTATGTAATCGTTAACACCAACGTCTTCAAAAGCTTCAAAAGCAAAACGATTTGCTCAATCCCAGATCAGTGCTTATGAAATAAATAAATGATGAAGTACATTATTGGGTTCCTTTCCAATAATTTATGTCAATTATGCAATACTAGGAGTACTAAAGTTTAAAAATTAATAATAACTCACCATGTGTGTCGATTGCTACTGTCCGTGATTTTCCTGAAAGCAAAAAAAGGAAGATTGATTAATTCAAAACATGACAAATTTTTATAATTTCGGTTCAGGAAGTAGGAAAAATTGCGTACAAAAAAAATTGTAAAATTTGCCCCATTTGCATTTTCTTAGGCCCCTTTTCCCCTTTTGATTTGTATGTTATACCGATTATTAAGCATATAAATTTCGTGTTTAATATTAAACCGTTTTGAAATAAAAACTGTTTCTTGAGTTATCCCTTTAATGGGCTATATTACACACTCTCCAATTTTGAGTATTTATTTTGTTAACACCATGTATATTAAATATAAAGAAATTTAAAATATCTTGACGTGGTGCGATTTTGTGGGTTGGGATTCCTATCGAGTCATATACATAAAACAAAAAGCTCTACTGAATATTTTTATTATATGATCTAATTTTTATGTTCAATGAGTGTCCGATGCATGCGGCTGATAATAATAATAATGAACAATTTCGATTATTTTTTCACCATCCCCCAATACTGTTTTAGCATGGTATTAGGCTTACTGGTGGTAACATTGCGACAAAAAAATCCCGATGAAATTGTCCACGAAATAAACGACTTCTGTATGCAAATAATGTGAATCATAAATTTGTGCTGTTAACCCATGTAACTGTTAATGACAAATAATGCTAACACAGTCCCAAGCCGTCTTAATAGCAATCCTCAAACAAATTCAAAATCTGGCCACAAATAATCAAATCTGTCAGAGTATCATGGAATGTCCTGTAGATAACAGAACATAGAACTCAAAATACTAAAAAAGTGACCACAAAAGTAACTTTTCTAATATAAGTAAGGAAAACTACGTCATTATTAACCTTTATTTTAAAAACATATTTTAACACAACTACGTTATACATATACAGGATGTCTGCTAAGGTATGGGCCTTTCACAACTAGATTCTATGATGAAAATTAATAGTCGTTTTAGTAAAAATTTGTCAACAGAAGCTTTACCTACTTTCAAAATACTTTTGAATTGGATTTAAACAAAATTGAGCTTAGTTTTAGCCAAAATCTATATAGCAATTGCTTTCTGATTTTAAATGATGAATAACATCCTGGATCATCAGGTACCGTTTCAGTTGATTAAAAAATCTAGTGCTGTACAATTACTATTATAGAGAATCTATTTCGAAATAAATGATACGCCACTGACTAAAATTTAAAAAATGTCATATTTAGAGTACCTATCCAGACATTTTACAAGCAAAATATGTTTACTAGTTTCATGCCCATAAAATGCATTTGCAAGAAAAACTGAATTTCATTCAGTACCGCATAATGTATTATTATTATTGGTTATAAATGTCACCCCACCTTAATTTTCTGGGTTTTAAGTAATATCATATTACGACATAAAACCTTGTACAGGGTGTTCGTACTATTGTAATATTTTCAGGACAGGTGTAGGTACATAAAAAAATATATGTTTTTGTTACTGAATTTTTTTATAGTTAACACATCGGGGAAAGTCTTCAAATATGCTTTGTAATTAATAAAAAATAAAGTTGACAAAGAAATGATGATGATTTCTCGGAACCGCGAATTTGAGTTTACAGTGAAATTCTTCGCAGAAAGTTGTGGCTATAAAGTTTTTACAAATTTCAAAAATTCGTAAAAATCAAGTCTTATTATATTATGTTAATATAAAATTTAGAACAGTGATCTATGTGACTTTATTGCAAGAACTGACAAAACTGAAACTGCCATAAATCGTTTGAGCTCAACCAACTGGATTGCATTTTGTTATTATAAACACAGACATTACAGCTTATCATCAATAAATATCAAAGTGTTAAATAACATACTTGATACAATTTTACATAAGAAAGCCTTAAAGCCACAATTTTTAATAGACGAGTTTTATTGTTCACTGATCTGATTACACTCCGATCACTTTGAACTAACTGGATTGCTTATATCGAAACAATTGCAACAAAATGGCAAATTTTTAGTAGCATCTACTATGTCATACATAAAATACAAACAAATAAAAAGAGTAGTATTATCGTTGCAAGGACATATAAAAAATCGCATAGTGCATTCTGGAAACGAGTTAAATTTGTTGAACAGACAGCTCACGAACCGTATATGCTGGGTAATAATTATAGCAATTGAGCAGAGCAAAGTTAATGCATGTAGATGTCATCCGTATCGCAATCGGTATGATCCCGATAATTAACCTAGTTTCTGACACTTGACTTTTCAAGTGCTGGAACGTCACCGCGACTGCATCTTCATAGAACGAAGAAGTATAGGCATCACAGAAATATCATATCAAGAATGGCGGCTCGGCAGATATCAGCTCCGGACGACGAGCCTGAAAAACCCGAAAAGAAATGTAAAGTGTATGGTTTGTTGGTGGATAAACGTGGTTTCATAGAAAATATAGTGCTAACGTAATTTTTCCATCCGTGGTTTGAAGTGTAATACAGCAAAATGCAATGTGTTTATGCATCTAGAGTGTTTTGACCAGATGGCATTAGTATTTCACATAGAAAAGAAGAACTGGCAATGTAGATCTTGTCTGGATAATGTAAAAACAGTCAGTTCAGGTGATGGGCGTAGTAAAAACCTGTGATGTGCTAGTGTTACAGATAGAAAATGAATAATAAGAGAAAAAGTGCTACTAAATAAATTATTAAGGGAAATGGAATATAACATTAGTTTGCAAAACATAAAGTTGGAGGAGATAAAAACTGTAAGTGTTATAGATACCGATCTCGGAAGACCGACAATTTCTTATAGTGACATTGCTAATCTAAAAACAATATACACAATTTACCACCGGCCATGTTATTTTAGTGAAATGCAAAAATCTGTTTCAAATTTGCAAATAGAAAAAAATGTTAAAACAAACCTTAATCCTGGAACATTTAATATTAATATAAAACAGTATCAAGTTAATAAAGTCTGTTGATTGCCTGCGGTAATAATGACTCTCAAGTTCTTAAAGATACTTTAGTTCAAAAGATAGGCTAAATATATGATGTAAGCGAACCCAAAAAAAATAAATCCCAGAATCTATGGAGTGTATAAAGATGCAGTTGAAAATCCTGACTTCATATCTTTGTTAAAGTCAGATAATCATTTGGAAAACAAAATCTAAAAACAAAGAATATTGTAATATCGTCATAGAAACTTCACCGAAGATTTTTCAAGAGTTTGTTACAAAAGAATATATTTATTTAGGATGGAAAAAGTGTTACCTTAGGGAATATTTTAACATCTCCCGCTGATACAAGTGTAATAATAATAATAATAAATGCCTTTATTTTCGGTACAACATACAGAATACAAGTATGATCATTTAAAGAATAATGCCGTAGTGCCGATTATATGTCTTATTTCTTTTGGAAACCATGAAAATAAAATGTATACAAATTCCGAAAAATGTTGTAGTAATTGCAAAAATTTGAATGTTAAACATAAGTTAAATTTGTCAACAAATCATACTGCTGTTGATCCTAATTGTTATTGTTTTAAACAAAAAATAGAGTGGATTCAATCTAGCCAGTTTGGATTTTTTTAATTTTTGGAGGGAATTGAGGGAGGGTGAGGGAGGATCCATAGGTAGAAAATTTTCTTTTCAATACTGAGAGGACTTTCCTTTTTTTGTCAGTTAGTGTTCCGTCGCAGCAAAAATTATTCACAATTTAAGAGTATTTTTAAATTTTCTTTACTCCTAGGTAAATTCGTAATAAAACGGCAATATGTATCAGAATGATACATTATCATGAAAGTTACAAAAAAAAAACAGTTATTACAGTTAAGACAGTACTTAATTTATTTTAATATTTAAACATCGAAATAGAGTACTTATGCTAATTTCGCTAAAAGCAAGGCACATACAGTGTACAGTACTTTCACTGAGTCAGTCTATATTTAATCTCATAGAACGCATCAATCTAGCATGTGTAATAAATATTGTATATCACGCTCTCTTAATGCGAATATCCTGATTATTCTTAGTGAATCTAACAAAGGGCAAGTGAGTAAATAACTGGAAAAATTATGTTTCGCATGTTAAACAAATATTATGAATAATTGTGAATACTGCAGAAAAATTGACTAGTACCTAGGTCAGGTGATGATACTGAAAATGAATTATATAAAAAAATTATAATCACTTATGTCATCATTATTATTTTATTTTATTAATTTTGTATTGTTGTTATTATCATTAACATAAACTTCATCTCAATACTCAGTTAAGTAAACGTGAAATCTTGAAATTTATTCAGTCTGTAACTCCGTTGTTTTTCAACGACTCTTGACGATTTTTTTTTTAACTTAAAGCTCTTTTCATAAGCTTTCCGAATATGTAATAATATATAACTATATCATGCTCGTGCGTCGAATATTTCATTTTGCAACTAAGGCTAAAAAATTATAAAAATTTCCAGGATGCAAATTTGAAATTAAGAAAAAAATTATAGATTTCAATGTATTATTATGAAATCTACCATGAAAAAAGTCAGTACGATTGTGGAAGATCCTCGGGATTGTCCAGACTAATAATTAGTTAATTTGTTTATAAGGCCATAACTTGTAAACTATTCAACCTTCGTGTGAGTTATTAGACAGTGATAAGGAATGAGATGATGTGATGCCAAAACGTCTGGTAATAATAACGCACTTTTGCATTATATTTAATCTGGAAAATAAACCTGTTATGAACGTATATTGTCAACAAAGTATAAAATTGTTCGTCATGTGTTATGAGATGGCAATACACAAAAATTTTCCTCCTAATGTCTAGAAACAAATAAATAAAATAACGTTGTATTCTACGCGACGACCAACGTACGACGTGAAAAATAAACTTTATCTGGGAAGGAAGTAATTAAAAATTTATAAATAATGTAATCTTCACCTTTTACATGCCAATAAGATCATCGTAGTGCCGTCATTCCAACTTAACCAAACATAAATTGTTTATGAGAGGACGCTGTTAATGCGTATGGGCCATTGT